AAAAAAAAAAAAAAGGACGGGAAGAAGAAAAAATCACCATATATATATAAACGAAACACACACAAAAAACAGAGGCAGATGTATCACGCGGCCGAGACGCTACGACGGCGACGGCAATACAGAGGTGCGTATCTCCACACTACATACAATAGCTGCTCCCTTCTCTTCCACCCTCCCAGCAACACTACAACGAAGGAGGAGAGGAAGGAGGTCAAAGAGAGAGATAGAGAGAGAGAAGATAATGGAACACCCCATCTCTCTCTCTCTTTCCCTCTCTCTCATTCACACTTCCTCAGAAATTAATAAACAACAAACATTTCTTTGCGTTTACTCTTTGGCGTGACATATTTGCTTGTACACAGTAGAGATGCGCACAGAGGCGCGGACGTAAATCGCTCACTTGGTTACATTCTAATTACCACCAACAAGCACCAAACCCCACTCTACCTGACCCGTGCGCTTCTGCTGCGGGACTACGCCGTGGTCACACCCTCACCCTTCCAGAGCTTCTCGCTTGCCGCCGCCACCTCCCCGCGGCTACGCTGCACGGCCGGCGACCGCCGCTCCAGTACGTACTTCTCAAACAACGCAATGTGCTTCTTGCGGTTGTTCTCCATGCCCTCGTTGTACAGGCGTACCACGACCTTCCCCTGCTCGGCCTTTCCAAGCTTCTTCTTCTGGCGTTCCTCGAACCCCAGTTCGCGGTCATAAAGCTCCTTCATACTCTGCTGCTTGCGCTCGATGGACTCTGTGTAGAGGCGCTGCACCATGCTGTCCTGCTCCTCCGCATCCAGCTTCTTGCACTGCGCGTGGTACTTGTCGATCTCCGCGTTGGCCGCCCGCTCAATCTCCTCCAGCCGATACTGCCGGTGGGCGATGGAGTCATCGTAGAGGTGCTTAATACTATGCTCTTCCGCCTCGCGTGTGAGCGTGCGGTGCTGCACCAACGGCTTGAGCCGCACCTCCACGCGGTGATGCGTGCTAAGACGGTTTGCAGACTTCTCCATCTCCTCATTGGTTAGGGTCCGCGACTTCCCGGTGGTCTCCATGGCTTTGCTGTTATATATATATATATATATATATCTGTGTGTGTGTGTGTGTGTGAGTGCTTTCACTCTTTTCTCGTGAGTTTTCCCAGCCCCTCCTCCTCCACCTTCTCTCACTCTCGTCGATGTCAAACAAAGCGCTTCTGTTGGTGGATGCGTGCGTTGTGCGTCAGCAGGCGGCGCACACAGAAGGCGAACAAGACCCCCAAAACAAACAAGCAAAGATAAGAAGACAGTAAAAGTTGCAGTGTACAACGCAGCAGTACGGTAAGCGCAGTAACAAAGCACAAAACACACACTCACACACGTTACACCCCCGTTTCTTTCATCACCCATGTTTTCTTTGAGAAGTAATCCCGCCNACAAAGCACAAAACACACACTCACACACGTTACACCCCCGTTTCTTTCATCACCCATGTTTTCTTTGAGAAGTAATCCCGCCTCTCCATTCACCACCCCCCTTTCCGTCTGCGTACTCTGTTGAATCCTGTGAAAATGCACACATCCAAAACACAGAAGCAACGAAGAGAGATAGATAGAGAGAGAGAAAGAGCAGCAAGAAAGGGCTGGTGCCAGGGGCATTCAGACCCACCTGCTGTAGTTTGCACAGGAAAAAGTACAGAGACGAAAACAACAACAACAACAACAACAACAACAGAGGAATAAAAATAGGGGAAGGAGAGACTACTCAGTGCCCTTTTCATCATCTCAAACACACAGCCACATGAGATGCCTTCGGCTTAGCCACTAAAAAAAAAAAACTCTCCCTGATTTCCCCTTTTTGTTTCTTTTCTTATTCGTCACTGCCGCGGTATATATAGCTGCGCCGTAGCTCATTTACGCTGTCAGGCGTCCATACAAATACAACGTGTGTGGCAATCTCCTCCGTACTTGGCTTCTCCACACCGTATGTTGGTGTGTAGAGCTCAAACAACTCCTGCAGCGCCGCCTCAGCGGCCTCTGGTGAGTCGATGCAGAGACCAGCACCCCACTCCACGGCTGCACGTGCAACAACGCCCTGTGTCTCTACATACTTGCTGTAAATTCGGTCCAGCGGCCAGTATCGGCCGAGTCCGTCATCTTGGATGCAAGACTCGACAATGCTCTCGCCAATGAGGCCACGCCGCGTAAGTTCCTGTAGTTTCGGCAACTTTCCCTGCCCAAGGTCAATAAAACAAATGAAGCGCAGCGGCCCGAGCTTATCCGCATCGCCAGTGGAAGCTGGGAAACGCAGATATCGTGGCGATGCGTCAGTGGCGCTCTGGAAGACAATGATGATGCCATTGTAAGACGAAATACCTGGAATATCCGTCTCACTACGAGTAAGGCGGCGGTAGCCAATGTTATCGCCACGAAGCTGTCCGTTCAGCATCAGATCCATAATGGTATAGTCCATCAGCGCACGCAAAGCGAGTTGTGTGTACAAAAACTGAAAGACCTCACCATCACGCAATGGACTATTGACAAGGGTGTCGTACACGGGATCAAAGTCTTCATCATCTTCTGTTAAAAATCTACCAAGAGCACCATCCATTAATTCTATCACGATGAAGCAGAGCTTCATGTGGCTACTCCCATCGCCGCCTCGGCAACACATGCGTACGTCATCCTCCGGCATGCCTTTTGGAGGCGTGCTGCTGATGACAAAGTCGTAAAGGTATGCACCCCTCACAACGCCGCAGCTTTGTAGTTGGTTGAAAAGCACAGAGAACGCCACATTGGTGAGAGACTCCTTTACATACGTCTCGTGATTCATGCCGTCTGGGATGGCAAGGCACTTCACTGCGACCGGAATACGCTGAGGTCCGTATCGCCCTTCGTACACAACACCACTGCCGCCCTTGCCTGCCAGCTGCACAAGCTCAATGTCGTTGGTGTCGCCATCGAACAGTGAAATGTCTCCATCCGTGATGTACTGTCGCCATCGCCGAACGATGGCATTTTCCTTTTCAACTTTCTCCTCACGTGGCTCCTCTCGCGGAGTCTCCTCCTCCTCCTCCACCCCTTGTCTCTCTTGAACCACCGGTGGTGAGATTGGGAAGAGGGCAGTCGCAAAAAAACGTGACAAGTCGCTGTTGTTCGCATGCAAGCGCATAAGAGAGGCATTGCCGCAACGGAATATACGCGGGGCTTCAGATGCACACCACACTGTCTCCTGCTCTACACCGTAGGACACCCCAAAACAGTCAAATAACTCCTCCAGCGCAGTGGCTGCTTCGTGTGGTGTGCTGATCACGCGTTGCATTGCCCACTCTACGACGACCTGCCGACCCAACTTGCCCTGACACGGCAGCAGTGGTGTGGCGCCGAAAAGCCGCTGCTTTGTCGTCTCGTGGTATCGCTTCTGGGATGTGCAACCGGGAATGACCGCTCCCTCAAGAGACATCAAGTGCAGAATTTTGGACCGTGCTGGGAAGAGAAGCCAGTGATTTGGGCTGGTTGGATGCTGGAAGGCCAACGGTTGCTTTCCACTCGTTTGAGCTGCTATGAAATCGGACCGCAGGAACGTTTCATCATCGTCAGGCATCATCTCGGGAAATCGCACGTCATACACAAAGCGGAACACAAGTTGCAAATAGAATAATTGAAACACTTCGGCGTCTGTGAAGGGTTGTGTGGAGAGGGATGGTAATGTACCTTTTGTGTATGGATAACGTAGTGTGCCCTTCATTGTGACGGGGAGCGCCAGTGCGACTGGAACTTTCTCCACCTTGTCGGAGCCACAGTGCATCTGCAACATGTGACGAGTTACACTATTTGATACAAGATCAAGTCGTAGATGCATATGATTCATCAGCAGCTCCTGCCAGTTCACCCACTGTATAGATAGGAATGGAAGAGCTTGGTCGCAGTAGCCGGCATCTGCAAGCGCAATGTAGAGCGCAACTGCCGTGGCGTACTGTTTCCATCTTGGTACACGATGAGCATCAACCCACTTGCGTGTATCGTTTGAGTCCGGTGGAATTTCATGCAAGAGTCTCATAAAGAAGCAGCTTCCATCGCACACGGTGTACTGAGTAATGCAGGATGCAATCGGTAACGCTTCCACGGCAGCTCCCTCTACGGTCAACATCCTTCCCTCAACGTCGTGCCGCCGCACCTGGCAACTCGCGGGGATATTGACCTCCTCCAGATGCAAAGCAATGGCCGATGCTTTCCCCAACGCATCGTTGCTCACCAGCATGCCGAGTTCGCGCAGTTTGCGCAACGGGTGATCTGCAGAGATGTCATCTGAAACACCAACCCGATACAGTGCGAGTCGCTGTCGTGCAGATCGGCCAAGCGACGCGCTGAGCGGACGAGACGGCGGTGTGTCAACGCTACGCTTCCACTGATGGAAGGGAGAGGAACGAGTGGATAGGGTGGCGCCCGTCAAGCTCGGGCCTGCCCAATTTTGGCTGGAGCCGACGGAGCAGCCGTCTCGCCACGGCGCTAATCGCTGCATTGTCATACGACTCCGCTGCGACTCGTGCTCACTGGGGATGTCTTTTGGCCGCATGGGCGTATTGAGACGCGGCGGCCGCTCCTGAACGTTACATATCATTTCGGACCACAAATGTAAACTGGCCTATGGGCTGGATCCTTCCCACACACAACAACAAAATACCTCACAAAAGGCACATGTTTGTGTTTGTGTATGAGTTTGATGGAGACAGAGTGGCAGAAAAACAAAAATGAGTGGTGCAACAGTTCTGCTCTTGCATGGCTTGACACCTGCCAAGAAGAATTTAAACAACAACAAAAAAACACAAGAAAATACCTCCAGACGGTAGCGGGTCCAGTGCGGCGGACTAGCGAATGAACTTTGGCGGTGGGCTCGTCGTTGGTGGGGAACTCCGTCGCCCGCCGCCTTCCTCTTGCGGCTTCTGCCGCCGCCTTTCCACTTCCGCCAAGTCCGCCACCATAGCCTTCTGCTTCGCCGCCTTTTCCTCCTTGTTCCAGAGGTACGGCATGAACCACGGTATGTTCTTCATGCGCTGGTTCATTGTGTCGAGCTCCTTAAGGTATTTCACGCGTGTCTCTAGCGTTGTGTTCGCCTCACCAACTAGACTTTCCAGCTCGTTCTTCACGTCACGTGGCAACTCCCGTTCCAGCCGCCCACCATCGTAAATCCACGTCACATGCGGAATATGCGGTCGACTTTTTACGCGTTGAATAACAAGCCGCTGCACCCAATGATTGAGCTGATGCAGCAGCGGCTCCATCTCAAACCGTGCGCCAGGGTCGACGGTGGACCAGACAATGTAGATCTCCTTGGAGCGCCGTGAACCCACCACCTCCTGAATGATGAGCTGCGCAAAGTCAATGCGTTCACCAATGTGAGCCGGGCACGCCTTTAGGGAGCGGCGCAGGTGGTACGCCACTCGTTCACAGAAGGCGCGCGCGCTCGGTGACATATTTGACTGGTGACGCAGGTAACGCACCTCTTTGCTCATCATGCCTGTTGGCTCCGGTGCTGGCGGCCACAGTGCTCCCGCTGCCAACTTGCGCGCGGCGAGTGGTGTGTAGGAGATGGGCGGCGGGGCGTACTTGGCCCGCTCTTCCCAACTCTCGTACTTGAGCGCATCCTTCTCCGAGACACCAAAGTTGGCGCTGTTGCGCAGTGGTTCTGTGTCGCCGAGCCCCTGGAGCGCGTATGTCTTGTTGAGGTTCACCCCCTCACGTTCAAGGCGCGATGACTTGGAGTACAGCCGCTGCTCCACGTAGTGGTAGGCGGAGTGACTACCAGGATTGATCTGACGCTTCTGCAAAACGCTGAGGATCGTGTTGTGTCGCTGCTGCGCGGTCTGGCGTATTGGCACTACAGACGGCTGCCGAAATCGGTACCGCAGTTTTGTTCTGTACTTCTGTGTCTGCTTGTTGAGCAGCCGCATGGGACTAGCAACGAACATGTTCCCTCCTCACCCCTCTCTTCATGCAGGATTATAATGTATATATATATATATATACACNCCCGAGACTATGTTATCAGCGCGACACCTTTTGATTTCCTTCTCCCTAGTCGGGTGCGCTTCCTGCTGTACAAAAGAAGAACGCAGGTGAAAGAACAGAACACAGGGATCGCTTGCAGATGAAGCATGAGAAGAGTTATACAGCCACACACAGAGAGAGACAGAGAAAGAGAACTACAGACACCATATATCCTTCCTTTCTGTGAAAAGAAAGGAGGAGCACCCCCCCCCCCTTGTAGCATGTACACAGCACTCAGTTCACCGCTTGTTGCGCTTTCGCGCCACCTCGTGCTCAGGTATGACGGCCACGTACATTTTGCGTCCGTGGAAGACGCTGGATAGCGTGTAGTGAGGGTGGTGCATCTTGCACAACATGCTCCGTAGCGCATGGAGGCGGGAATCCATCATGGTCTGGCCCAATTGCCCCGATGCCCGACGTGGCTGCAGCACGCTGTGCGCACGACCACTCGCCGCTGTGAACACACGGTGAAAATCCGCGTCGTCCGCCAGCATCTCATCGCTAGGAGCGTCAGGGCCCTCAACAGCTGGGCTCGATGATTGAAGAGACGACACCACTGCACGTGTCGCTGTACTTTCCCTGACAAGCGTCGATGAATTGACGACAGAAGTGTCTTTCACAGCAGAATCAACAGAAGAAGTCTCTCGGCTACTCGGCACACTGCCGAAAGATTCCACGTCGTTATTGTCTTCATTATCGTCATCATCGTCGTCGACCACCTCGCGGGCGGCGAGCAGAGCCACTTCCAGATCTTGCGCCCGTGCGCTCACGGTGTAGATACCATTGTCAATAATCATGAGGGACTTAACGTCAGTGACCTGCGGCATGAGGTATCCGCTACAGCCCTCCCAGGGTCTCTCAAGCGGCTCCTTCTTGAGGTGCCGCACGCCATCGCCCGCCATGAAGGCATGAAAGGCGACACACTGCGACAGCATGAAGGGTAATACCTCTTCAATTAACTGGAGGAAACTCGACAGGGAATCGGGGACGACATCCACGTAACCGTCGGTTTTTGCACATCCTGGCACGGCGCTTACGCTTCTGCTTGACTGTTTTGCATGTTCCTCACTGACAAATACACCCCCGCGCCACCCCGTCACATTTTCAAGGTAGCGATTCAAATGCGGGTACTTCTGCGCCAGGAGGGAGGCGGGCGGGTCGTCCATCAAAAAATTGGCAGAGAATGCGGCACCGAGGGCGACGTCTGCCAACGTGGGGTGCGGTGTCCCAAGAAGAAACAGCATCTCCGGGTTCTGCTCAAAGTGCGTGTCGAGGGCGTTGCAGAGGCGTTGAAAGTGCTCCCGCATATAGGGCGCTGTCTCTGTTGACACACCGGTGGTGGATGTGAGCTTCTGCATCGCCTGGCGAAATGGCCCCACAATGGCGCGGGACATGCCGATACCGGGGACGAGAAAGAAGTAACGAAGATAACCCTCCACGACGTCGACACTGTCGCCATCGATCCAGCGATACATGGCCCCTGTTTTGCACAGCCACCACGACGCGTAGAGAACTACAGTCCAGCTCACCAGATGAATCTTTGGATGAGTGCGCTTCTTCACAACTATCGTCTCTTCCTGGTGCTGCAGCGCGCTGGCTCGCTCCACCGCGTCCACTAACTGCCACAACTGCAGGTACGACTTTCCATCCGGGGTAACCGTGCAGAACGAGTTACGGGCGCGATACACCAGTGCATAGAACAGAGTGGTGGTGAACGTGCGGCAGTACACCTTGAAGGGGAGCCGCTTCAGTCGCAGGTACGCCACGTGCTGGTGGAGCACCAACGCATACGGCGAGCCCAACACACGGTACGTCATCTTCCCTGCGCACAACCCTCCTCCTCCTCCCCTGTTGTCTTGTCTGATACCGTCTTTAGTTCTGCCTCCCATGGAGAAGGGTTTGTGTGTGTGTGTGTGTGTGTGTGTGTGTGAGAGAACGCAAAACAAGAAGGGGAATATGGGGAGTGTGATTCCGTGTAGAAATTACATGCAGGAATGCCTCACTGCCATCTTCTATCCTCTTTTTTTTTTTTTACCATCTCCGGTGAAGTCTCCGCACAAAGGTTCACCGTCTCCTGGTTTTTCACCCTCCACCTTGTATGTGATTCACACAAGCACACACCTTTCCTTCCCCTTCACGCGCAGGTCCCTTCTCGTCACACATCAGACTCATCAATGTCCGGGGGCTCTGGGATGTCCTCGCCGAGGATCCAGTTGGCTCGGCGCAGCATCCTGAAAAGTGCAACAACGCCAGGCAGCTGCTGCGTCACAACGCCGTTCTGCAGCGTCGTCTCCGCCGCCTCCACGAACGCCTTTGCGTCAAGGTACAGCTGCAGCGTCATCTTGTCTCGGTCCGTCGCTGTCTCCGGTGTCGGCCGTGCCGTTGTAGAGGCAGCAGGTGCAGCCTGGTCAACCACCACATCCGTGGAAGTCCCGCGGCCACCCGCTGTTGTCTCCTTGCGGCGCCGCAGCTTCTCCCAACTCTCCTCAGTCTTCTTTGCCGTCACAAGCGTCTCCTTTGCGATGACGCGGAACCGGTTGGCCACTTCCTCCACCACCGCCGCGACCATCCCATCACGTGCCGGGGCGGACGGTAGCGACTCCACTGTCGCGGCGAAACGCTGGAGCGGCTCGACGATATTCGGCACGTACCAAGACGGCGCCGTTGGGAACGGTTTCCGCATATGCGAATACGCCGACTTCACGGAGCGGATGTTCTGCATGCCGGCGGCACACTCCTCTGCGACACGCATCTGCACCGCACGGTGGAGTGACACCGCGGCTGCGCGGCATGTCTCCTGTGCAATGAGCTGAATGACTGGCGACGACACCGCAAACGTCCGTCCACTCGCCGACTCCAGTCGGGTGCGAAACGGCCCCTCAATGTATACTGCGAACGCCTCGAAGTCGCTGCATGCGCTCATGACGAGACTGATCCAGTCCCGCATAGAACTATTCGCCTGTGAAGCGTCGGCGTAATCGAGCACGCTCCGTGCCAGACGCTGTGTCGCGCCCGCCGCCTCGCGGATGAACTTTGGTGTCACAGTGTAGATATACGTGCTGGGCGAGAAGAGCCACTCCAGCGCCTCCTGCAGCTTTACGAAGGGATCCGTGTGGAATGTGGTGGAACACTCAACGCTCGAGCCCTGCTCCCGCTGCTGGACCTGTTGCTCCAGCGGCGTGGCCGCAAATGCCTGGAGGGCGCCATCCACTCTCTTGCTGAGCTCATTCGCCCGAATTGTGCCGTAAACGTCTGTGTTCCACTTATGCTTCCAGAGCGCCACATCTGGTGATTGCACCAGCATATGCAACTCTTCTGAGGAGGCGCAGTTTGCCTCCATCAGGGCGAGCAGCTCATGTGCGGCCATGTAGCGCTTCTGAAAGGCGTCTGGGATGCCAACGTCGTAGAGCGATACCATCTTCTTTACCAGTGCCTCGCATACAGTTGGCCAGATAATCATTGGGATCGGCATCACGGCACCCTCAAACGCCTCGCGCAGAAGCGGCAGAAAAGGGAGTACATTCACCTCCAACTGATCTCGGAGACACACGAGGAGCTTGACGGTGTCCTCGAGACTGTGCCGTGCCTGCGTCGCGGCCCGCCACGAGAGCACTGACTCCAACAGAGGCCGCAGAATCCGCTTGCGGTACATGCGGCAGAACTCCTGCACTTCGCCAGCCGTCTGGTAGGCCTCCATGACGCTGCGCATGGCGTGCGTCAGCGTCTCCCGCGGGTCCTGCATGTAGTCCTCGTAGAGCGCGAGGTAAACCCGGGCAAAGACGTTGTGCGAGAGCTCTGTGCCGTCTCGGAGGATCTCCGTCGCCTCCTCACGCTCCTTCTCACGCTGCGAGAGCCGCGGCAGGGTCTGGTGAAGCGCCTTCAGCTGCTGCACGGTAATGGCAATGTCACACAACGCTTCACGCATATGCGCGCTGCCCGCCACAACGGCTGCCGCTCTCGAGGAGGAGGAACAGGAGGGCGAGGAGCCGTTGGCATGATGAATATTTACCGCGTTGGTAGTCATGGCGGCCGTGTGTACTAACGGTTGCTGACTGCCGTCATCCGAGGAGCGCAGGGACGAGGGAAGTGCCTCGATCCGCTCGCACAGGAGGTCGTACAGGAGCAGTAGCTTCAGAAAGCCCACGTCGAAGAGGCGCTCCATCTCCGTATTGGACGCGCTGAGGATGTGGGCGTGGACCCGCTCCTCCAACTGGGTGAGTCTCGCCATGGCGTCTTCCACCTTCTTCACGGTGGCGAGCACCGGCTGCTGCACGCAGCGCAGCTCATCCTGCACCCCGACCAGGTGGCCAGACACCTTCACAAAGGCGTCATGCACGTCGGTGTTCACGTGGCGCAGAATGCTGTTGTTGAGGAACGTCATATAAGTCTCGAGGTCGCGGCACAGTATGCCGAGCGGTACGCCATGATCGAGCTTCTCCTGTACGAATTGAACAGGGTCGAAGTCAAAGGCGATCACGACATCGTTTTGCTCATCTTCTTGTTGCTGCTGCTCTGCTTCCAGGTCGTCTTCGTTCTGCTGTGCGTCGTTCTCAAACGCCACACCGAACTCGTGCTCGCCGAAGCACAGCTGGATGAGCTGCAGCTGCTCCAGGTCAACAGCAGGCTCGTCCCCTGCATAGTTCTTATTGTCGCTATGGCCACCGTCGTGGACTGTCTCCACATGACTCGACATGAGAGACTGATTGATTACTGTTGTTCTTCCTTCTTATACTTCTTCCTCCCTTCTCTTTTCAGCTTTGGCCTGCGGTACTTTGTGCGCAACGACGACGCACGTGCGCCTCTCCTGCTCCGCACCGTTCGTGTGTTCCTATTCACTGGTTAATCCCGGTGGTGCAGCACAAAGAAAGAGACAAGCCATCTTGACACACAGGCACAGATCAAACAAGGGGCACCGGGCGAGTGACATCTCCACATCCAACCCAACCCCCCTGCCTTTCCCTCTTCGCAGCATCTTTGCTTCTCGCCTTCACTCCGCCTAAAGTGTGAGACAATCACGCGCCATTCATTCTGCTGTCCCCGAAGCGACAAGACGCAGAGTAAAAAAAAAAAAAACACTACACCATACACGCCAATACGGAAGCTGTTCTCATTTGTTCCTTTTTCCTTCCAGAATTCCCTTCTCATCCCTTTCCGTCTCTCTCTCTTCTTTGTTCACACACACACACACACACACACAAATCTTTCTTTCCTCTTTCCCGCCTTGTTTCGCCACCCTTTAGTCCGCTGCACTAACAGTCATGGCGGCCTCCTTTACGCGTTGCATGTGCCGCTCCTTCGCCTCGCCACTCTCTAGCTGCTGCATGAACTGCAGCCGCGCCGCGTGGTGCTGCTCCTCGCGCAGCCACGTAAGGTTTCCGCGTGTGTCCTCCGCGCTGCGCGGGGTGTACTGCGCATTGCCGAACTGCCAGTCAAGGTGGTGCATGCGCTCCCACTCCTGCAGCAGCGCATCGCGGTTGTCGACGGGCAGCGCGTGCACGAAGCCGAACTGTGGCTGCAGCGGGCACTGCTGCATCACCGCCAGCGCAGCAGGCGTCACGCGTCGATGCTGCTGCGGCGCCCGCGCTGCCGTGACGTGTGCAATGACGTAGTCGATGATGTTTGCGACGCTGCGCAGCTCGCGCCGATCGGCAGACGTCGGGCTAAGGCGAAAAACGCCCTCCACCACCTGGTCGAGCACGCGTTCCCGCAGCGTCTCCTCCTGCAGCACGAAGCTCTCAATGTCGCGTGGCTCTGGCAGCTCCGTAAGCGGTTTTCCTTCGAAGTCTAGCCGCCGCATTTCGTAGCCGTCGCGCTGCGTCTCGGCGAAGATGACGTCAGTGAGTTTGGCGACGAGGTACTCACGTAACTCCGCGTCGCTCATGCTCAGAACGACCGTAGCGAATTCATCGTCCCAGGCGGGCGGGCGGTGGCCCACTGGTGTGGGTGGCGTGTGGCCGGGCGGCGGGACGTTCGGCAGCCACGGGTATTGCGTGTGCCACCAGCGCCACGCCGTGGCGGCCGTACCGCGAGTGAGGCCAACGCTCTCAGGGTTGAAGCGCTCCACGTGGGGTGGCGGGCGGTGCGAGTGGGACTGGTCCCACTTGCTGATGCCCTGCGCCTGCCGCTGCCAACGGTTGAGCTCACGGTACTTGTATATGTGCGGCCGCCCACGCCGCAGCACGTTGTGGTGATTCGACTTGCGGCACACACATGACAATTGAAGCATGGCCCTGCTGCTGCTGCTGCTTCTTCTTCTGCTGGTGGTGGTGGTGGTGGTGGGGCTTGTGTGACTGCTGGGACCGCGGCAGAGGCAACGGCAGCAAAGCGGAAGCTACACAATAACACACGGAGGGTGAATGGCTGCCCCTGCACGGTAACTTATATATATATATATATATATAATTTGTGCGTGTGGTGAAACGCCCTTCACGCTGGCACGAGTGTTATGTGGAAGTGCACGAAGTAGAAAAGCAGAAGCAAGAGCCAAACGGAGTTTTCATCTGATGCCACAGCATGCATACAAAACCGCTCCCTCACACTCATGCAGTGATGCCACAGACAAGAGAGAGAGAGAGAGA